GTGTGCAGCAGCAGCCTGTACAAAAATGCCTCTTCGCAAGGTGGAAAGACACACTACCCATACCTAAGAGGCAAGCCCTCCAGCTTTTTGCTCAACAACATAAATTTTGCCACGTGTGTCCAGCCACGTGATGACTATGTGGGTTCAAAGTCCGACTCCTTCTTGTATCTTATTCCAACCCCTCCCTGATATTCCGATTTTGGAGAAATCCTTGCAGTGATTGAAAGGTCAGTTCTGTATGTGATCATTTAATGGTTTTCTCCTCAGTGCTTTTCTTTCAGCGCCCTTGAACGGCGTCTTGAATGCCTCATTTAATGTCTGGCTATTGTCTCATTGATTTAGCCATCTTCATCAGAAGGTATGGTGCACCCAAGGGAGTCAAAGAAGATATAGTGTGGGGAATATCCTGGGATAAGTCTGGGAAGTTATTAAATGCACATCCCAGCTCCAGACAATACACAAGCCATTTTCATTTACTTTCACGAGGCAAGGTGTGCAGATGATCATGCAGACCATGGCTGAATCATTCACATGGTTCTTTAACCATTGGATGATATGGGGTTATGCAGCTCTTTGCGCTGCTATAGACTTTGCAGAACTTGTGTAGTATTATGCTTTTGAACTTGCGCCGCTGATCTCTGTGAATACATAATGGAACATTAAAATAGAAAAACCAATCACGCAAACAGTTTGACTATACTTGAGGCCTTTTGGCCACAGGTGGAAATAGCCTGCATGACCTTGGTGAAGACATTTGTATAAGTACAAGAAATTGCTCAGTCCTGTTATTGTCAAGAGCTGTAAAATTCATTTCAAGGATCCCGTGAGGTGACCAAGGGTCCCAAATGAGGGCAAAACCGATTTCTTGCTTGAACCAAAGTAAACTTCTCATAATTTCAAGAGTAGTCATCAATGATAGCCATCATTTTGAGACAATAAAAACGTTCTCTGGTCAGGGCAGTGACCTTCCTGTCACATGGTGTCTTGCTTGATCATGAATTGCTACCAAAACTTGACACTTGAGGATATTGGGAAGGCTGAGTTGCTTCACCTCTCTCTCCTTGTCATAAAGCGTTTGAGAAAGGACTGTATTCTCCTGTTCCAGCACCTCAATAGTTTCTGTGTCAGAATCCCTCATCAGCTGGAGCCGGGCTTTTAGATATTCAGCCTTACTGTAATGGTATGGTCTCCTGATGTCCTCGATGTCTGAGGTCCTCTCTTGAGAGATTGATGGCAGAGGTGAGGCAACCTGGTTTGAATCTGACTCATCACTCAATCCTGTGGCAGTCAATGAGTCTTAGTCCAATTGTCATAGGAAATTCAGGTCAGAATCATGCCTTTGACTTGAAACATGGGTATGGGTAAGAAGTCAGCCAGAGACCACCTCCAATTGGGCAGGAGCAGGTGCCCTATGGGTTCAGTCTTCTGTCTGAAAGCAACGGTATTTGCATTACTTTAGCATCGCCTGTACCAGATCTCAAATGGAAACCATGTGAGTTCAGCAGCCTGCTCCAAGTTTGGCAGAAGTTTGAAAGTAGCTGAATGGGTTGTTGTCTGTAAACACTTCAAACTATGCACTGATCAGAATGTCTCTGAACTTCTGGGAAAATAGCCCGCTTCAAATTTAGCAGTTTGAGTTTCATCCCAGAATAATTCTCCATGTTCCTCTCGTTCAGTTTGAGATTTTGACTGACACAGGTGATCTAACTACGCTGCCCTGAATCATGACAGCACTACTCCTAGGTCAAGAAAACTGGCATCAGTTGTTAGCATGAAAAAGTGTTGGAAATTTGGATAATGAAGAGACAAGCTTCTGGTTGAGAGTGCAAAAGGAACCTTCATTTACTGTGTCTGGCTCCCTGTGGTGCTCCGTGACATATGACTCCTTGTACATCCTTTCCAGCCATTCCTTCACCTTTCTCTGATTTCATCAGTGGGGCAGCAAACTTTGCACAAACCTCTTTAATGGTCTTCACTCACATTGAGGCCCATGGATACCTTCAATCTGATTGCCATATCTCTATGTAATACATTTTGCAAAGTGGAAGAAGGGTCCAGACTCGAGGCGTCAGCTTTCCTGCTCTTCTGATGCTGCTTGGCCTGCTGTGTTCATCCAGCTCTACACCTTGTTATTATCTTGCAATGTGGAAAGATGTTTTCACATGAGACAGTAGGAACTGCAGATGCTGGAGAATCCGAGACAACAAGGTGCAGAGCTGGATGAACACAGCAGGCCAAGCAGCATCATAGGAGCAGAAAGGCTGACGTTTCGGGCCTAGACCCTTCATCAGATGCTCATGGATGCTCCGGTTTCCAGTTTTGCCTACAATTTGTGCTATTGCTGCATCTGAGGGCATGTAGTCTGAATTTGGTAAAGACTTCTTTTGGTATTACAAATGATATTCATCAGGTGGAATGTATTTGTATGCTTAATTTTTGTGTATTAATGTGCACTGGGTCTGGCTTCTCTTAATGTCAAACAATTTGTTGTGGCCTTTACTTTCTGTATTGACACTTTCTGTATTCTCTGGTACCATACGCATTATGTATTTTGTTAAAAGCTGTGCAATTTCTGTGTGGTTTAATGAGGCTGCACCATCCACTCAACTTGCCTATATTGTGTAGTGTGAAGTATTAGATCCCAGAACAAAGATACTGTGTGTAGTATTTCTAGAGTGCTGCAGAAAAATAAGTGTTTGATCATTTTTCAATTTCACATTGTTCCTGCTGCTGCATGTGAAATGGTTGAAATTGTATATTTCCTGTCAAATCTTCAAAACTCATGCTGCCACCAGGTGACATTATGCATTTAATTGTACCAATCATAGAACAAGGACTTGTAAAACAATAGTGTGATTTCCTTATTTGAAGTCAAGACTGTATACGTAGGGTTAACTGAAAGGGTGAGTAGGCACATCCTCCAGGAGACTGCTGATGTATTCTGAATTTAGAGTCATGAGACTGCTACGTTACATGCTGTTGTTTTCCAGGGTTTGTGATCAAAGTTATGTAATACAGGCAGTTGAGGATTTATCGCAATTTTCTGATAGTTTATTGAGTTTGTTCAGAAGCAGCAGTTTAGATACAATACATCAATTAATTGGATAAAGAAAGTGTACAACGGTGACAACTGGGGATGGTTCACATACTAGAGGACAAACAGCCTGTCAGTGCGGAACTTTCAAGGTGCCATCTCTCCATTATCTGAAATTAGCATCCTGCTCCAATTGTTCTGTCAGCTTTGGAAGCCCACATTCATCCTTAATTGGATGTCACACCTGCCCTTTACCCATTAATTAGCCCATTCAGGGCAAATCACTGCCAAGCCACCTTTTCTCCCACTGTTTTTCTGTGATTGTTCTCTGAACAATTCTGTAATTTTGTGATTCTGACCTTTATTGTGTATTTGTGTGATGCAATGGTAACATCATCAGCCGTTTTGGGCCGGAAACAGCTTAGTCTAATCTTACTGCCTGCAGAGTGAACACCTCCTTAATAAAGCTCCAGCTGTTCAATACTTCGACATCCTGGTCCTTCTTGAAATGTAACACAAGATGAAAACTGGTGACAAGGATTAAACCTGCTTTGTGAAACACTGGGTCTGCCCGCTGATTCGTCCAAAAAAGTCATGATTCTCACTGCAGATCTTAGATGTGCTTTGATAAAAAGAAATCACAAAGTAGAAAATATTGCAGCCATTTATTTAAGTACTCAGTTTTTTGGTGTTTCTTTCCAATCATTGTTGCCACTGGCTTTTCCTCATGACAGCCAGAGAATAAGCGCTTTTTCAGCCCTAGTCTGTTTCAATTCAACAGTCAAAAATCCATCTCTGCATCTGTCACATAGAGAGCCTTTTGAAATTGCAGGTGAGGTTTCTTGCATGTTGAGATCTCATGATTGTGCAAACATGACAGGAGAGGAAGCTTTTTCACACTTCCCTTGAGGGCTAAGGATTTGTTTTCTGGCTCATTTCATTACAAATGTTAATTTTATCTCAAGGTTTTTTTTTAGTATAACCTTGTTGCTTTCATGAAGCCTTTGTGGTCAGGTGATGGCACTAACAATTATAAGTTGCCATTTATGGTCCTCTTTTAAAACCACTTCAGTCCATGAAAGTCCCAGGTATTGAATCAGACTGTGGTATTCAAAGATCCATAGTCTATATCATTGTGAATGTTGAACATTGGTTTTTGACCTTGCATGTTCTGAAACAAAGAACAAGAAATTGAAAAAGCAAGTAAATGAGCAAAGGTTTTAAGAGGCAATAGTCAAGATGATTTGCAATGAACTATTATTCATATACTTTATAAGCGTAATCTTCATGCAGTTGAAATCAGATTAATCATATTGTTAACTTATAAATACTTTTTTCAATATGATAATTAATAAAACTCTGTTTATTGTAGTGCGGCTGCCAACATAGTGCTGGTATAATTGTGAAAATGAAAATCATTGGATATTACATACGGGTGCAATTTCATTGTCTATTTGTTTGATGATTTGTCTTGATGCAGGCCTATTTTTGTAGTAACTATATTAATATACTCTTTCCATATACCCTATCTAACTTTGAAAAAGAGACCAATATTTTCTAAAGATTGAAGATTAAAGTTCTTACGACAGTGCATAATAAAAGTGAGATCTTCCTTTAAAAGAAAAGTTAATTTGTGCAGCTTTGCTTCTTTGCCTGCTGAAAATCAGGCCGTTCATTTAGTTATGGCTTGCTACTGCTGATAATACAACTTTGATGCATATGTGTCTCTGTACCTTATTTGGTCAGAAAGCGATAGATAATTTGAGATTCTTCCTCAAATTTGGGAGTAAATTTTTTAAATCTACCCTTGAAAGGGAAAATGCTCTGGGCATTTATCGGAAATTGCTATTACGTTATTTAATGCATAAAATGATTAATCTGATTCCTTGTGTGATTCTGTTTGCATGCCAAAGATGAATCTATGATTGTTTTAAATAAAGACACTTGTTTTTTTTACTTTTTAAAGATTCAAGCAGAGGAAGATGATCTGGGAAAGGGTGAAAATGAAGAGAGCCTTATTACAGGGAATGCTACTACAGGTTTAGCCTGGGGAGTCATTGGAATAGCTGATGTTACTGTCAATTAAAAAAGTGAAACTGCAGCACAAATGTCTAGCCAGTTCCAAGTCAGCAGTCAAATGTTAGTAAAAAGTGTTTCCACATTGAATTTAATATTTACTGATGTAGTACAATGCAGAGAATATGCATTAGTTTTGTTCCAATTTGTTTTGAAGAGATGCGTTTATCCCGTATTAAATGTCTCAAAACAAAATTTGTTCATTTTCTTTTACCAAATGTCAATAAAGTTTGTTACCAAAATGTGAGTCTGTTTGAATGTACATTTTATGTTGATGCACCAGTTAAATATTACTGCCAAATTTTATTAGTCAATCTCGTACATAGATCAGATTTAGAACCATTCTATGCAACTGTGACATTTAACACCTCAATGAGATCGCATTCCTCTGAAGAAGTTTAAGTTTTCCAATTTCATGAAACAGAGCAGAGAGATCAGAACAATTCCTAAAGGACAGAGGTGTTAGACTGGGTATGCAGCAAGTTATTAGGGAACCAACAAGAGGGAAATCTCTACCTCACTCTGTCTTCACCAGTCTACCTTTTGAAGATGAATCTGTTGATGATGATATGAGGAGCAGTTACCGCTTGCATCATTCTCTGGGAAACAATGTTCTGACTTCATATTGAGGATATCCTCCATTGTATTGTGTGGCACCACCATCGTGCAAACTGGACAAACTTTGAATAGATCTAGCAACTTAAAACTGGTGCTTTGTGTCCATCAGCAGCAGAAATATATTCAACCACAATCTGTAAACTCGTGGCCTGGCATATCCCCTACTCTACCATTACCAACCATCTAGGAATTCAACCTAGTTCAATAAAGAATGCAAGGGGACATGCCAGAAGCCACAGTCATACCTAAAAATAAGGTGGCAGCCTGATGAAACTACAGCACAGGACCACTTGCACACTAAACATGCAAGGGCAACGTGCAAAGATGCAAAGACAGGATAATTGATTTAACAACAAACAGATCAGATCTATGCTGTTCTGACCATATTTGGACCAAGGCTGTAATGAGGGCAGGAGCCCTGGCAAAACCCAAACTGAGCGTCGGTGATGAGGTTATTTCCTTTATGAGTGCTGCTTGATAACACTTCCTACAACCCCTTCCATTAGTGTTGGATTTGACTTTTTATACACAGATCATAGCTGGGCTTGACTCATCTGTGAAACAGCTGTCCCAATTTTGGCACAAATCTCCATATGCTAGCAGGAGGATTTTGCAGTGTCAAAAGGGCTGAGTTCGCCATTGTCAGGTAATCTGTCTGGTATCCTTTGTTTAGACTTTAAAGCATATTGATACAATTGAATGGCTTGCTTAGACAGTTCAGAGGGCAATTAAGGATCTGGAGTCATGAAGGTCAGACCATGTAAGGATGACAGATTTCCTGCCCTAAAGGAAGTTAGTGAACCAGTTATTTTTTCTAACAAAAATCAGCAGCACATGGTCACCATTAGGTTAGCTTTTGATTCTAAATTTTATTGAATTTAAATTTCACCATCTGGTGGGACTGTTAACTGCTTCTTCCCATTTAAATTACACAGGTTTGCATTGAGTCAAGTCTGTGTTGCTTCACTGCACATCTAAAGTCCTTGAATGCAGATCTGGGGCAGTTAATTTCAGTAGAATGAACAAGATGCACTTGCCTTCCGTCTTCTAAAATCTGGCTCAGACTTTGATTCAGCCCCTGACTTGAAGGCTGCATATGTGAGCTTTTGGACATTTTCTCTAGTGCTTAAAAGAAAACAACAACCAGCTTTGTTAGGCGGGAAGGAACCATTTCCTTCTCTGAAATGGGAATTCTACCAGGCCTCTACTTTTGCTTGATCTTTGCAGAACAAAATAACACAATTTTAAATGACTGAGAGATTATGGATCAAAGAATGGGTAGCATGTATACAGTAGGCCTGAAGGATCTCTAAACTCGATAGATACTGAAGATCTTAAATCATGTACCGGGATGATAGTAAAAGAGGTGTTATGTCTGCTGATTCCCATGAGTTAGAAATAATCACACATTATAACCAAATTCGGAGTTTTGAGTGTACTTCTAGCTATTATATCTTATTTTATATTTGTGAATTTATATATTATAGGCATGCATTCGCTAGATATTTGAAGAGCAAGAAGTGACTTGATTAAACATGCAAAATGTGTGTTCTTGACAGGGTGAATATGGGAAGGATGTTTCCTTTTGTGGGAAAATCTTGAACCGTATAATAAGGGATTACCCATTTCAGACAAAAATGACAATTTTGTTTCAAGAGGTCAGTGAATCTTTGAAATTCTGCTCCCATCACCTTTTGAATATTTGAATATTTTGAAGGCAGGTGTAGATAGATTCTTGATTAGCAAGGGGTTGCAGAATTATCAGGGATTGGTGGGAACGTTATGGAATCAGATCAACCACTATCACGTTGAAAGGCAGAGCAGGTTGAGGGGATGAGTGGTTTTCCTCTGCTCCTAATTCATACTGTTATGTTTGTGCATATGCATATTCTTCATGTAGCTCATGGACTGATACATTGTTGGTCAGCACAGTAAAATGTGGCACCCTGATTCTATGATCTCATAACAACTCGTTCCTATAAGTAACACAAATATGACAGGAGGTTTGAAATTGCTGGAGCAAGATGTTTATTTGTCCAAGGCAAGCCGTTTACACATATCGTAACGGCAGAGTCCTGAGGTAGTAACATTGAGGAATATATCAATTTACGTCCTCTTCACGCTGCAGGGAAGGTCTGATTCTTAACTCCGAGTAAGTTTTGTTTGGGCATCTTAACAACCCTCATCATATCATCATTCCTCTATATATTTTACGCAAATGGGTCAAGGAAACAGCCACATGTGTGACATATCTTTATTTTGTATTTTTTTTGCAGCGCATCACGTTAACTTAACACGTGATGAAGTCCATCCCACAAGGTAGGAATAGAAGTGCGCATGTGCTTTGGAAGGGGAGGTTGCGTAAAGCGCATGCTCAGTGACGTTCCCATTGTGAAGGTGGAGCCGAGAACATGATAGCGACAGGCATTTGTGTTTTGACGGGTGAGGACAGTGACAGCTTGGTCCGTGGAACGGTCACCTTCGAATGGGATGTAAGCTTACATGTAAATAGGAATAAAGTGTGGTCGTCTGCCTCCGTTTGTAATGAACGTTGCTGACCTTCAATGTGTTCACGAGAATGAAAAAAATGTCAGGGTGAAATGCGATGCGGTACAGTTAATGTTATATAAACTCTTATTTTGTTTCTCAGACATTTATATCGAATGGGAATAACGATGTTTCCGCTGCCAGCTATTACTTGTGAAGGCTGATCTTTAATTGGAGTTAGAGCACGACAGAGCGTCGACATAACGGTCTCGGAATGTTAGTGGTGCGCATGTGCGATGTACGGGTGACGGCTCCACATCACGTGCCCCATCAATTGGCGCTAAATGTTTGTGCACATGGAATTCTGCAGTTGTTATCAGTTTAAATAATACTCTTCATCTAAATGTGAAACCACTTTTACATTTTCTCACATTATATTCTATCTGCCAGATTTTTTTGTCCATTCACTCAACTATTTGTTTGGAACCTCTATACTTCAAAACAAAACTTTCTCACCTATCTGATGTCTTTTGCTTCCCTCATTTAAGTTATTGATGTTAATTGCAAAAAGTTGAGGCCATAGCACAGATTCCTGTAGGACTGCATTTGTCATATTCTATCAATCAGACAAAGACACATTATGGTTAACTCTCTTTTCTGCCAGCAGCCAATCTTCTATTCATATTAATATGTTACCCCTGACATAATGAGCTTCTATTTTCCAATATAAACTTTGACATGGAACCTTATCAAATGCATTCTGGAAATCCATGTACATTATGGCTGTAGCGATTGTAACAAGGTCAGTCAGCTGGGCCTCAGAATGAGTTCCCCAATTGAGGCTGTTCATGTGATCCAATCAGAGAGCTCTGGCTGACATAAGGGCGTGTCAGAGATGCTGAAACTCTGGTACCTGACTCTCAGTCAGGCAGTATTAAAGTCAAGGAGTGTTCATGCGTACATAAAGGGTGAGCGGGTGACAGATATCATCTGTGGAGTTACTTTGTCGGTGACAATAGTAAAGCACGATCAAGTGAGTTGGGTAAGCATTTCTTACATCATGTCGCTGTTTGGGAAGTTTGACTCATTTAACTCTGCCATGGAGGACTGGGCCAAGTGTGTGGAAACAATGTGTTACTGTTTCCAGGTAGACGATATTGTTGCAGACGAAAAGCAATAAGCAATTCTACGGCTTCTTTCCCTCAGGCATCAGACGCTAAAACCTTTCAAAATTTGACATTCATAGTTAAGGAAAATTAAAATCATAAGCCTCCTCTAATTCTGAGACATTGTCATTTTTACTCAGCAATTCGAGAACCATGGGAATCTATATTGGGACTTTTGACTAGGTTAAGACAACTTGCAGAAAAGCCAGTGACTTTGGTTTAACCCTTAATGAGATGTGTAGAGACTTTGTTTGTTTGGTATGTGGATTTATGAAAGGCAGTAGTTCAGTTACCTGTGATTGTAGAAAAAAGGCTCGGGCCCGAGTTTGATGGGGCAAAATTGGTGGAGACGGGTTCATCGAGATTGGCTTAATATTTTTCAATTAGAAAATGGCTGCCTGAGTAAAGTCCTAATTAAATACTCGGAAGTGTTTCAGGAAGGTCTAAGGACTACCAGAGGAGCTAAGGCCACCATGCATGTTGACCAGGAAGCTATTCCATAATTCTGCAAGGCCTGCCCAGTGCCATTTGCCTTATGGGCAAAAGTAGTGGCAGTAGGCTGGAAAGTGAAGGAACCTTCATACCAGTCAAGTTTGTGGAATGGGCAGCACCAATCATACCAATTTTGAAGCCCAGTGGGTCAGTTCACCTTAGTGGAGATTTCAAACAAATGTAAGTTGCTTTTTGTAGCTGGATAAGTACCCAGTCCCTTGAATAGAGGATTTATATGCAAAGCTAGACATGAGCCATGCTTATTTGCAGTTACATTTAGACCAGGATTCCCAGAAGTATGTTCCAATTAATACCTAATAAGGACTTGTACCAATATATGAGACTGTCATTTGTGGTGTCATCAGCCTGTTTAGCGAATGATGAAGAACATTTTCCAAGGTCAACTTCGTGTTGCCATTTACCTGGATGATGTCCTAATAACAAGAAGAACTGATATAAGGAGTACTTAGAGAACTTGGATGCAGTCCTAGGGCATTTTTCGAAGGGAAGCATACACCTACGAAGGGAAAATGTGTATCCCAGGCCTCCCATGTGACCTACAGAGTGGACAAGACTGGGTTACACTTGTTGGAAGATAAAGCGAGTGAGATTAAAGGTGCCTTAGCTCTCTCTCGTCTGTACAAGAGTTTAGGTCATTTCTTGGGCTGATAAATTATTATAGAAAGTTCATATTTAACCTGGCATCCACTTGGCACCTTTGTATCAACATGTAAAAATGGGTTAGTCTTGGAAATGATCACATACAGAAATCCTCGCTTTCGATGAAGTAAAGAAACTGTTACCATCCTGTAACGTGTTTGGCACACTCTGATCCAAAGAAAGGTCTGGTGTTCACGTGTGATGCCTACCTGTAAGGCAGCACTGTTGTATTAGCTCATCGGTGGCCCAAATGAGAGGAACACCCAATAACGTATGCATCCAGGACTTTGGCTAATGCAGAGCATAAATGCGGCCAGATTATAAAGAGGGATTGGCAGTCATATGTTGAGTCAGGAAGTTCTACCAATACCTCAATGGATGAAAATTTGTGACGATCACGGACCACAAACCCTGACTTCGTCTGCGTAAAGAGGACAAGGCAGTGTTGCCTATAATCTTCAGGCCACTTTCAGCGGTGGGCTCTAATACTAAGTGCTTATGACTACAGGTGAGAATACTGTCTGGGAGGCTGAGTAGCCAATGTGGATCTGCCTTTTGTAAGCAGATACATCATTGGAAAAATTTGTAATGGTACTAAATTATCTGGGCATACTTCCAGTCACGGCTGACAATATCAGACTTTGAATGCCAAAAGATCCAGTACTTTCATAACTGAAACAAGTATTAATGGGGCTGTCACAACTAGAATTCAAACTCTCATGGACACAGAGAGACCAGCTGTTGGTAGAGATTGGCATATTGTTATGGGTAGTGAGAGCAATTGTCCTGAGCAGAGGTAGTTATCACGTTCTGGCTGACCTCCACCAGGGCCATCCAGGGGTCTGTGAAATGAAGAGGGTGGTGAGGAGCAATGTTTGATGGCCAGGCTTGAATGCAGACTTGTCTGTGTAGTTGGACAGCACCCAGAGTGTCAACAAGGACAAAAAGTACTGCCATCAGGTTCTCCACATCCATGGGAATGGTGGGGTAAATCTTATATGCAGTTACATGTTGACTATGTAGTTCTTTCATGGATTCATTGTTTTTAGTTATTGTAGGTGCCCATTCAACGTAGTTGGGCATGCATTGAATCCCCTTGTCAGATATGGGGATAATGATAGAAAAACTACACACATCATTTGTGTCACAGATTCCTGGATGTTTTGATCAAGGCAACTGGCCATTGTTTATCAGCAGGGAGTTTAGTTACGTCTTAAAGTTGAATGGGATTCGACATATTAGGCCATCTCCATACCACCTATTATCTAATATCCTGGCAGAAAAAGTGGTACCAATCTTGAAGGTTGTACTGAAGAAACAGCCTATAGCTTCACTAGATACCAAGTTGTCACGTTTCTTGTTTGGTCATTGAACCACCCCACATGCAACTACATGGATAGCACTGGTATATCACTAATGGATAGAAGACTTTACACCAGGCTAATCTGATCTTCCCAGACCTGGTTGAAGGTGAAATGGCTTAAGGAACGCCAGTGCCAGATGCAAGACTCCACCAAGCAAGAAAGATGGCTGGAGACAGTGGATGAAGTTTGATGTAAAATATGGCCCCACATGGGTAAGAAACAAGATCGACACGAGATCAAGACTAGTGACTTATAACATTTGGTGCAACTGTTCTGAATAAGCATGCGGACCATTTAAAAGCTGCAAATTTGCAGACAATATGGAAGCAAAACTTGCCCTGCCCCTCGAAGCCTTCAAAAATACTTAAGGCACTCCTTGATTCACGTTCTTCATCAAATACTATTGAGTGCTGTGCATCAGAGATGGACATGACAGAGGTTGCCTCCTCAACACTTCTGGCCCCTGAAGAAGGGAGTGACAGCGTATCAGGTGTGCAAGGGGCAAGCTCCCATTCATTATACCCCTCCTGTGTTGGATTCTGAGTTGGAGGAATCTGACTCAGTATTAAAAAAACACTCCAGGAGACCTTGTGTCTGTGGACTTAGAGGGGGAGGGATGTAGTGATTATAACGAGGTCAGCCAGCTGAACATCATAAAATATATGTTTCCTGATTGGCCCAGATTAACAGCCCCAATCAGGGAGATCTAGTGACCTAAAGGGGTGAATGTCCAGGATATTGGGGCTCTGCGTGCTTGACTCAGTGAGAGGGAGTGCTATTGTCAAAGACTATGCATTTGTAAATAAAGGGTGATGGAATGCCGGCCTGTGGAGTGGTGTATTTTAGGCAGTCTTTGGGGAATCTGGAGGTATGTTACTCATTGCGGGATTCTAGCCTCTGACCTGTTCTCATAGCCACAATATTTATATGGTTAGTTCATTTCAGTTTCTGGACAGTGGTAACCCCAGAATGTTGATAGTGGGGAATTCAGGACGACAATGCATTGAGTGCTAAGCAATGATGGAGTGTCAGCTCTGCTGACCATATTTGAATTGATTTGATTTATTATTGTTGCATGTATCAAGATACAGGGGAAAGTATTGTTTTGCTACAGCAACCACCCAAACACTGTCAAATGAAGTTGCGTGAGAACATTATTTAAACGGGCAACAACACACTGCAGCAGCATGGAGCTACACCAAGAAGAAGAGTACCTCTTCCAAGTATTCAAAGGCAATGGATACCTGAAAAACTGGGTCAGAAGATGTCTATCACATGCACAACAACAGGAAGATATTACATGCCCCGACACACTCACCACACTACCTTACATCAGGAACAGATTTGAGCTGATCAAGACTCCTATGACCACTGGGCATCAGAGTAGCACACAAACCAACATCAACCCTACGCCAACTGCTCACCTGGACCAAAGACCCACTACCCACTATGGACAGGACCAATGTCATATAAAAGATTCTCGCAAAGACTGCAACAAACACTACATTGGACAAATAGGAAGGAAATTAACCACAGGGGACATGAACGTCAGTTGGCAACAAAACATGACTAATACTCACTCCTCTCCATCCACATGGATAAGGAGAGCCACCAATTCGATTGGGACAACACCAGGATCCTGGGACAGGCAAAGCAGAGACAAGCACGGGAATTCCTAGAAGTCTGGTACTCCACTAAGAAAGCCATCAATAAACACAGAGCTAGACCCCATGTGCACTCCATTGCGAAGGTAAACCAGAAGTGAGGTAATCCTGTTCAACGGACACCAGTGTTTAAATAACAGGCAGGTAAACACAACAGTGCTTCATCGGAGGCTGCACTGATGATGTTCCCCAGCAAGGTAATGAAACGTCTGCGGAACAGCGAACCAGCTCGGCAAGCCAACCAAGCACATGTACGGTGTATAGTAAGGGGCTAAGTGCGCAGCCTAGAGGGGCACTTCTATTGAAGAAGACTATTGTGGAGGAGGTGTTGTTGCCTATCTTTACTGATTGTGGTCTGTGAGTCAGGAAGTCGAGCATCCAGTTGCAGAGAGGCAAGCAGAGTCCTAGGTCTGAGTTTGGAGATGAGTTTTGTTGGAATTATGGTGTTGAAGGCAAAGCTAAAATAAATGAGTCTGACGTTGGTGTCCTTGTTATCCAGATGTTTCAGGGATAGGTGTATGGCCAGGGAAATGGCATTAGCTGTGACTTAATGTGTCATTTTTTTAATCAGTTCTAGCGTTAAGGAAAAGAAACCCAGCCTTATTGCAATTTTAACTATATTTTAAAACCATAAGATGAACAGGAATAGGCCATTCTGTTCTTCAAGGCTGCTCCCCCATTCTGTATTATGGCTGATCCAACCTTACTTGTCTACTTTCCTGTCCTTTCCCCATAACTCTTGATTCCCCTAATGATCAAAAATCTATCTGTCTGTCTTAGCTTTAAAAATACCAAAGGTTTCTGCATCCATGCCTATCTGTGGCAAGTTCTTTCGCAACTTCTGAATGAAGAAATTTCTCCTCATCTCTGTCTTGAATTGGCAGTCCTTGATTTTGAGACTAACCATGCCCTCTGGTCCTAGACTGTGCCATGAGGGGAAACATGGTCAGCATTTACCATGTCATGCCCTTTAATCTTATATGTATTTACCTTTGCTGTTTTGGAAGCAAGTGTTCAAATTTTTTATATAGAAAATAGGTTTCAAAAAAATACATGGTTTTTGTAGCTTTTTCACCAGTGAGTTATTGACTGTGCTGTATCTTGTGTAGAACGTTTTCCTGTAATGTGGCCTGAATTTTTCCATTGGTCACAATAATAACCAATCATCATATCAGTTGACTATAAATGTAAGTTTTAAAATTTAAAATTTATGGCTTTTCCACTTGATCATTTCATTTACATATTTGCATAATAACATTAGTTTTTAATTGCTTCTTTCTTTAAAAATCCAGTGATGTTTCTAATACCGTAAAGAAAATTCCCAGAAAACATGAGGGTGTGTTGCAGGGTCGGAGGTTGTGTAATAAAGATTTGGTTTGAGAAATCAATGATGTACAGAAAGTAGGTATCACAATTTTAGGTGAAACGACAAGTGGTTTGCTTAAGGTCAGCTATGTAACATTTAAGGAAATAAATGGTAAGTGGGTTTTGGATTGTCCATGGGACAAAATTATGTGGTTAAGGTAATGGGAGATCTGGAAACAGTAAGAAAAGTTGGATATTAAACAGTGGATTAATGGAAAAGAAATTATGGGATAGTTGGAAATGGCTGTGGATTTAGGAAGCAGAATTGAAAGACTCATGCCATACAACCACTTGATAGGCGTATCTGAAGACTACATTTAGACCGGTTTAAAAATTTGCCTATCGACATAATGTTGACATGGTTTTTAATTATAAATGTTCCTTGAGACAGAATTAATTTTACTTCTTGATATAAGAAGCACTACTGAAAAATATGATGTGGTTACAGTTATAGACAGGAAAAGAGAATTTAGAATTTGTCAGGCACCTGTAATCACTGATGAGAGGCCTAAATGATGTTATGGCCAAATCTTGTTAATATTTGACTGACAGGCTACACAGCTGATCTCATTGATGAGCATGCCTCCCACTTGTAGGACTTCCCATTGGCAATTTAAAGTGCAACTTTTAAACAAAAACTATGTTGATTTGCAGAAGACACCAATTAGTGCTTCTGACTTATTTTCAACACGCCTGTTGGTTCTTTTGATGGTCTTAATTGAGAGTGTGAGGGCATGCTGGTATTTGATGGAGACCAAGAATACCAACGAGACCAAGAATACCAAAAATAAATTGCAGGGTTGATGAGAAATGGCAGAGTAAGTTAGCCCTTGAATTGCCACCTATAAGAATTGGATTCTGTACAGGAAAAGCTTAATTGACCTAATTTGAATAGTGAGTGTGAAAGCTGACCTTTATATCTCCATTTCTCTCTATCACAAAAAGCAGCTATATGTCTAACTAAACCATTTCTAACAATCATATTTCTAACTGTTCACTTTAACACCACATATCCTTCCATGAAGATCCATGTTTAATTGTATGAATCTGTTTTTTTTTTAATCTTGTAGGAAACTGAAGAAGTGTTTGTACAAGGAACTATTGAGGGATTGGAACCAGGAAAACATGGACTTTACGTTTGTTCTTTGGGCAACATTACTAATGGTGTGTACCGTACAGTATCTGCTGTTTCCAAGTGACCTGTGAAGTAATTCATGCAAGTGAAGTAAATCTGAGAAAATGAAATGCTTCTGGGGAGAGATGTTACAGTTGGAAATAAAAACTCTACTTACAGTTTTCAGTGCTAAGGTGCTCTAACTGTCATCTGCATCTCTGAATTTTTTGGAGGAGAAGTGTGCAGAAGTGGAATTGGCCAGCGTTCCTGGCATAAAAAGCATTCCAAAAATAAGGGGAAACCACAGGTCAAGTGAGAATGAAATTGATTTGTTCATTTTATTTCTCTTTTTTTTTTTTTCCCTTTTTTTGAAGTACAACAATGAAGTGTTGGAAGAATTAGCAGATTATCAATTTGTTTTAACTGTGTCATGAGTGCTCTGTGGTCAATAAATCCTGGATTGGAAATCGAACCCAGTGCTTCTGGTTTTGAGGCAGATGCACTACGAACAGACGTACAGCCATCAAAGAAATAGTACTGGAAAAATTATTGTGAATTCGTAACAATAAGTTGGATCTGATGACCTTCATCGTAAGGTTTTAAAAGAGGTAACTTCAGAACTAAGAGGCATTGGTTACAATCTTCCAAAATTCTGTATATCCTAAAGCATTTCCCAAGGACTGGAAGATAGCAAACACAAAGCTGCTAGTTGAGAAAGAATGAAGAGATAAAATTGGGAACTGTAGGCTGATTAGTCCAATATCAGATATAGAAAGAGTGCTAGAATTTTTTTAAAAAATTCTTTCACTTCGTATTGTCTTTGCTGTGTAGGTTACCATTTGTTGCTCTGATTGCACTTGAGTTAAGTGCTTTGCGGCAACACTGCAGTGCATGTGGTTTGGGAGAATACACAGTGCCTTTTGGAAGGGAGTTCCAAGATTCTGATCCAAACATGGTGAAGGAACAATGATGTGGTTCCATTCTTGCCCTGAATACCTGACCTCATCTCTCTTTTCTGGAAGGAGGAGAGCATTCCTGTGGAGCTCTGAGACACTTTGATTATGACCATCTTCAAGTAAAGAAATACGACCAAATGCAATATTAACAGAGGGGTCTCCCTGGTGTCTGCCAAAGGGTCGGTCACCGCAAAGATTCTCCTCAATTATTTATTTCCATTGGCTGAAGAGCACCTACCAGAATTACAATAGGCACGGTGGACATCATCTGCACGACAAGGCAAGCCCAAGAAAAGATTAGAACATAGAACATTACAGCGCAGTATAGGCCCTTCGGCCCTTGATGTTGCGACGACCTGTGAAACCAATCTGAAGCCCATCTAACCTACACTATTCCATTATCATCCATATGTTTATCCAATGACCATTTAAATGCCCTTAAAGTTGGTGAGTCTACTACTGTTGCAGGCAGGGCATTCCACACCCTTACTACTCTCTGAGTAAAGAACCTACCTCTGACATCTGTCCTATATCTATCACCCCTCAATTTAAAGCTATGTCCCCTCATCCTAGCCATCACCATCCGAGGAAAAAGGCTCTCGCTGGCCACCCTATCTAATCCTCTGATCATCTTGTATGTCTCTATTAAGTCACCTCTTAACCTTCTTCTCTCTAACAAAAACAGCCTCAAGTCCCTCAGCCTTTCCTCATAAGACCTTCCCTCCATACCAGGCAACATCCTGGTAAATCTCCTCTGCTTTCCAATGCTTCCACATCCTTCCTATAATGCGGTGACCAGAACTGTACGCAATACTCCAAGTGCTGCCGCACCAGAGTTTTGTACAGCTGCAGCATGACCTCATGGCTCCAAAACTCAATCCCTCTACCAATAAAACCTAACACGCCATACACCTTCTTAACAACGCTATCAACCTGAGTGGCAACTTTCAGTGATCTATGCACATGGACACCGAGATCTCTCTGCTCATCCACACTACCAAGAATCTTACCATTAGCCCAGTACTCTGTATTCCTGTTACTCCTTCCAAAGTGAATCACCTCACACTTTTCGGCATTAAACTCCATTTGCCACCTCTCAGCCCAGCTCTGCAGCTTATCTATGTCCCTCTGTAACCTGCAACATCATTCCGCACTATCCACAACTCCACTGACTTTAGTGTCATCCGTAAATTTACTAACCCATCCTTCTACGCCCTCATCCAGGTCATTTATAAAAATGACAAACAGCAGTGGCCCCAAAACAGATCCTTGCGGTACACCACTAGTAACTGAACTCCAGGATGAACATTTCCCATCAACCACCACCCTCTGTCTTCTTACAGTTAGCCAATTTCTGATCCAAACAGCTAAATCACCCTCAATCCCATGCCTCTGTATTTTCTGCAATAGCCTACCGTGGGGAACCTTATCAAACGCTTCACTGAAATCCATATAGACCACATCAACCACTTTACCCTCATCCACCTGTTTGGTCACCTTCTCAAAGAACTCAATAAGGTTTGTGAGGCACGACCTACCCTTCACAAAACCGTGTTGACTATCCCTAATCAAATTATTCCTTCATAGATGATTATAAATCCTATCTCTTATAATCCTTTCCAACACTTTACCCACAACCGAAGTAAGGCTCACTGGTCTATAATTACCAGGGTTGTCTCTACTCCCCTTCTTGAACAAGGGGACAACATTTGCTAGTCTCCAGTCTTCTGGCACTATTCCTGTAGACAATGACGACATAAAGATCAAAGCCAAAGCCTCTGCAATCTCCTCCCTAGCTTCCCAGAGAATCCTAGGATAAATCCCATCCGGCCCAGGGGACTTATCTATTTTCACACTTTCCAGAATTGCTAACACCTCCTCCTTACGAACCTCAATCCCGTCTAGTCTAATAGCCTGTATCTCAGTATTCTCCTCAACAACATTGTCTTTGTCCTTTTCCTGTGTGAATACTGACAAAAAATATTCATTTAGCGCCTCTCCTATCTCTTCAGACTCCACGCACAACTTCCCACTACTGTCCTTGACTGGCCCTAATCTTACTGTAGTCATTCTTTTATTCCTGACATACCTATAGAAAGCTTTAGGGTTTTCCTTGATCCTACCTGCTAAAGACTTCTCATGTCCCCTACTGGTTCTTCTTAGCTCTCTTTATGTCCTTCCTGGCTAACTCTCAAGCGCCCTAACTGAGCCTTCACGCCTCATCTTTACATAAGCCTCCTCCTTCCTCTTGACAAGAGATTCAACTTCTTCAGTAAACCATAGTTCCCTCGTTCGACCGCTTCATCCCTGCCTGACAGGTACATACTTATCAAGGACACGCAGTAGCTGTTCCTTGAACAAGCTCCACATTTCAATTGTGCCCAGCCCCTTCAGTTTCCTTCTCCATCCTATGCATCTTAAATCTTGCCTAATGGCCTCATAATTGCCTTTCCCCCAGCTATAACTCTTGCCCTGTGGTATAAACCTACCCCTTTCCATCGCTAAAGTAAACGTAACCGAATTGTGGTCACTATCACCAGAGTGCTCACCTACCTCCAAATCTAACACCTGGCCTGGTTCATTATCCAGTACCAAATCCAATGTGGCCTAGCCTGTTGTTGGCCTATCTACATACTGTGTCAGGAAACCCTCCTGCACACATTGGACAAAAACTGACCTATCTAAAGTACTCGAACTATAGTGTTTCCAGTCAATATTTGGAAAGTTAAAGTCCCGCATACATCTCTGGAACTTTTCGGAGGCCTATAGAAAACTCCCAACAGGGAGACCTCCTTTCCTGTTTCTAACCTCAGCCCATACTACCTCAGTAGACAAGTCCTCATCAAACGTCCTTGCTGCCACCGTAATACTGTCCTTGACTAACAATGCCACACCTCCCCCTCTTTTACCACCTTCCCTGATCTTCCTGAAGCATCTAAACCCCGGAACCTGCAACAACCATTCCTGTCCCTGCTCTATCCATGTCTCCGAAATGGCCACAACGTTGAAGTCCCAGGTACCAACCCATGCTGCAAGTTCACCCACCTTATTCCGGATGCTCCTAGCGTTGAAGTAGACACACTTCAAACCACCTTCCTGCCTGCTGGTACACTCCTGTGACCTTGAAACCTTATTCATGACCTCACTACTCTCAACCTCCTGTACACTGGAGCTACAATTCGGGTTCCCATCCCCCTGCTGAATTAGTTTAAACCCCTCCCGAAGAGCATTAGCAAATTTCCCCCCAAGGATATTGGTACCCCTCTGGTTCAGGTGTAGACCATCCCGTTTGTAGAGGTCCCACCTACCCCAGAATGAGCCCCAATTATCCAGATATCTGAATCCCTCCCTTCTGCACCATCCCTGTAGCCATGTGTTCAACTCTCTCTCCCTATTCCTCGCCTCGCTAGCACGTGGCACGGGTAACAAACCAGAGATAACAACTCTGTTTGTTCTAGCTCTAAGCTTCCACCCTAGCTCCTTGAATTTCTGCCTTACATCCCCATCCCTTTTCCTACCTATGTCGTTGGTGCCTATGTGGACCACGACTTGGGGCTGCTCCCCCTCCCCCTTAAGGATCCCGAAAACACGATCCGAGACATCATGGACCCTGGCACCTGGGGGGCAACACACCAACCGCGAGTCTCTCTCGTTCCCACAGAATCTCCTATCTGTCCCCCTAACTATGGAGTCCCCAATGATTAATCCTCTCCTCCTCTCCCTGCCTTCCCTTCTGAGCAACAGAGACAGACTCTGTACCAGAGACCTGTACCCCATGGCTTACCCTGGTAAGTCTTCTCCCCCCCCAACCCCACCCCAACAGTATCCAAAACGGTATACTTGTTATTGAGGGGAACGGCCACAGGAGATCCCTGCACTGTCTGCCTGTTCCCTTTCCGTCCCCTGACTGTAACCCATCTACCTTTTTCCTGTACCTGAGGTGTGACTACCTCCCTGTAACTCCTCTCAATTACCCCCTCAGCCTCCCGAATGATCCAAAGTTCATCCAGCTCCAGCTCCAGTTCCCTAACGCGATTTCCGAGGAGCTGGAGTTGGGTGCACTTCCCGCAGATGAAGTCAGTGGGGACACTAGT